ATGTATTGATTAGACAATGCCGAGGTTTTGTGGAGTTATTATGTTTTGATGTATTGAGAATACAACGGTTTTCAGGTGATTATTGTGATTTTGGTGATTAAATGAGGTCCGTGTTCGCGATTGTATGATGAGTATTAGTGAGAGTGAGGTGAATATGTATTGATTGGACAATGCCGAGGTTTTGTAATTTGTATGGAGTTTTTATGTTTTGATGTATTGAGAGTACAACGATATTAATGTGATTATTGGGTGTGATTGTGTTCCAATTAAATGTCTCAATGCCGTCATTATGTTGTTAGAGGTTTGTGCTCGCGATTGTAGGATGAGGATCTGTGTGAGTGAGGTGAAATGTGAACTGATTAGAATCTTGTTTTTAATGAAAGAATCTATTTTAGGGTAGACCCATGAATCACTACTTTTAGGAGTTTGTTCTCTCGCAAAACTAGTGCCTTATATAAATAGATAGTGAATTTTAAGAACTTGTGGGTTATCATGACTCTGATTATTATTAGGAGATATGGCATAGATGTATACCGAAGAGTTTGCTGTTGGAGGAGTCTGCCATTTCTGAATCGCTTGCTGATGCATCCAAAAACTCTCAAATGTGAATAAGTGCTGATTCAGTTATGACATTGTTATGTGGATCTTTTCATCAAGAAACTATGGAAGGAAACTGAAATTCCTCTGTAATTCTATAAAAATGTGTATTTTTTATTTTTATTTTTAGGGGGGGGGGGGGAGGGGGGGTTGAATGAAGTATAATTCAGATATTTTTTGCTTTGAATGTGGTTGATTTAGTGCCTTATCACATTTGATTCAGGTATAACCCTCACGTTGTAACACAATCAAATTTACCCCCTTCATTATGCTGCATAGAACACTTTTTTGTTTGGCTTTAAATTGCTGGAACACTGATGGTGTTCATATTGCCATTTCATATCAAATGCTATACACCTCTTGTATATTACCTTTTCTTTGTTGTTGCTCTTTCTTGTGATGATCTGTTGCTGGTGTTTAGATCTTGGTTTGCAACTTTGCACCTTTTAAATTTGTGATGTGATTGCTCACCTTATGTATAAGGTGTTTTGTAATTTGTAAAGTTCATAACTTCATATGAAGGTGGAAAAATATAATTATTATGATAGTGCCAGGTGCCTTTGCTCAAATCATATTAACCCTTATGAAAACTCTACAGGAGAAGCATGCCAAAGAAATTGTTTTGAAAGCTATGGGGCAGGCTATTAGCAAAACTGTTGCTATTTCAGAGATTATAAAGGTTAGTCATACTCTTCTAAGCTATTCTTTGACTGTCATTCCCTTCAAAGCTTCTCTTTGACAATTTACAGTGATCACTGTTTTTACAATAGTTGTACTAAGCTGTACTAAGTTGTTTGCTATTGCAGAAGAGAATTCCCCACTTGCATCAAGACATTGTCATCAGTTCAGTTAGCATTACAGATTTCTGGGAACCCATTGAAGAAGGTCTAATACCGTAAGTTTCACTGCAGATCATGTATGCATTGCTGTTTTTGATGTATTGCTGTGTTTACCATTGCTTTTGGATCTCCGCAGAGTGGAAACAGAGCGTCAAGTATCAATGATCTCTATCACCCTGTCAACTAACGAGCTAAATAAGAACTCTCCAGGGTACTATATTTGTTGCCTGTTAATTTATTATTGAAGTTTGCTCCCATGAGACCTCCTTGTCTGTACTTATTTGTGTGTTGAACTCTTGGAATCTGATGTTTTGTCTACTCAAGGATGACTTTTTGATTGGGTATCCCTAGTATAGGGGACAATGGAGCAGTCATGTGAATTTCTTGTATTGATTATTATTTAGTTGAATTCAGCCTATCCCCCCCTTCTCCAGAGCTGGTTGCATGTCGTTACTTAAAGAAAATTAATTACTCTGATCAGTTTATATATAGTTGAGTCTTGAGTGTATATCTAGTTAAGTGTAAGCTTCATCCGTATTGGTCAGTTCAATTGTACAGTACATCATGTTTAACAGGATCAGTGCTGTCTGAGTTTTTTTTTTTCATTCATTTTTAAGTTAGATTGATAAACCAGCATTATATGTACCATCTTATTTTTGCCTATACTGAGCTATGGTGCTTCCTGCCTGATATGGTTTTACACTTTTACATCAACTCTGCTCTTAATGGCTCTTATTTTATTTTGTTTTGAAGGTATCAAGCTCCATCCCAGTATGAGCAGCCCAAACAACAAAACTATTATCAGCAACAGCAACTTCAACCTAGACAAGAACGTGGTGGTAATAGGCTAATTGTTCGCCCAATGTATGATTATACTACTATACATCATTCAATCACTGTTTGTCTGATACTCTCTTGGCGTTCTTTTGGATAGAATCATATGGCCGAGGACGTGGACGTGGTAGAGGGAGAGGGAGAGGCCGAGGACAGAACTGGGGAAGGGGTGGCTATGGATCATACCAGGGTATGAACTTCGAACAAGTAACGTTCTTTAAGCATTATGCTGTTATTGTTTCCTGTTACTGTAATTTTGATTACATCTACTTTATTGATTGTAAGCAGATAATGGAGGGTACTCAAACTGGGGCAGAGGAGGTGGACGAGGTAGAGGCTGGGGAAGATATTATGGTGAGTATAATATGTTTGATTTTCCTCGAATCAGATGACCAGCTTGGCATCCCAAAATCTCCTATGCAACAATGGCATTTTTGTTGCACTATCAATAATTGTAAATATTAACCACTCTTTTGTTTATGTTTATATTTAACCAATTCCCCCCCCCCCCCTCTCTCTTTTGTTTGGGGATTGAGAGCGAGCTGTAATGCTGATTTGGTAAAGAAAATTTCCCATCTCCACATATGTACATTTTCTGCAGAACTTTTTTACCAGTTCCCCAAACTCATGTAGTTCTGGGATTGTTAGAGTGCTGTAATGCTGATTTGGTGATAGAAATCCCTCATATATCATATATGTACTTTTGCCGGAGAAATTAGTAGTTTTAAAATGTGAATTGAGCAAAGTATTGGCTGTGCCATACCTTGTTTGACTGGAATAGTGTTGATAAAAGCAAAAATCTATGGAAGATGAGTGTCATGAAGCCATATTCTTTTAACTTTAAGGGTGTTACAGCAATATGATTCCTTTGCGTACTACATAACTGACGCAAATGGAATTGCTACTTGATAGAGATTTTTGAGGATTTGACTCATGTAGCTGCATAAGTGCATGTGCATGCTCATCTTTGCTATTCTCAATGGTATTTAAAAATTTTGTGACAGATGGTGGTTATCAAGTAAGTCGAGACAGTGGATATCAAGCAGGCCAAGATGGTGGGTATCAAGGAGGTCGGGATGGTGGGTATCAAGGAGGGCCAGGAGGCCGAAACAGTAGGTATTATGGAGATCGAGATGGTGGTTATCAAGGTGGCCGGGGCGGTGGGTATCAAGGTGGTCGAGGCGGTGGGTATCAAGGTGGTCGGGGTGGTGGGTATCAAGGAGATCAAGGTGGTGGCTATCAAGGTGATCGTAGTGGTGGCTATCAAGGTGGTCGAGGTGGAGGGTATCAAGGTGGTCGAGGTGGTGGCTATCAAAGTGATCGAGGTGGTAGGTTTCAAGGTGGCCGAGGCTATGGTCGTGGGGGCCGTGGTCGGGGTCGTGGTCGTATGGGAGGCCGTTCTCAAAGTGGTGCAGATGGTGATCAAGCTTAAAAGTGTGTCTTCCTACTTTTCCCATTATTGTGAATTACTTGCCTTGGCTTGAATGTGCTTTACTATGTTCAGAATGGAATGAAAAAAAAAACTTGCCTTTGATGCGGTGATAGTATTTGTTTTAGTGTTGTCTTGGGTACTGGCATAAGGTTTTGTCGATCTTTTTGCAACGCTATGATATATGATTATAGAAGGCTTGGTTTTCTGTTTGCTGGTATTTAATCTTTTAGCCAAAGGCAAGTATCCGAAATAGTTCTCATCTCTGTAATTCATTCAGACCTCAATCTGTAGTGTTATAGAAAATGCAATTTTTTTGTCCAGGTTATCTTTCATTTTCTTCGGTTACTTCCTGATTTCTGTTTTCTGTGTCTGATTTTTTTTTCCTGCACTATGAACTATCTCTAAATGGATTATACAATGACCGTTAGCTCTGTCCTTATCTGAAGTGGGACTGAATTTTCTGGATTTATTTAATCTTCATGAATGTGGACTGCCTTCAGTCTAGATTTTACATTCATGACAATTTGCTCACTTTGTATGTACTTTCCGTGAAAGCTCAAGCAATCTGTTCACTAATCGTGTCCAGATTCAGTACATACTCGATAATGTCTTGGTCTTATGTAAGCTTATGAGTAATGACATACCGTGACTGACTGTTGGCTCACATAGTCACATGGAATGCCGAATTCATGCCAACCAAATGCCCTTTTAGAATTAACGAGTAATTTTTGTGTGTTACGTTTGCATATACTCCATATTATGTTAACGGAAACTATAACAAGTAATGGGATTACATGTCTGTACTCTGTACATTAGAACATTTTGCTAATCGTACCCTGTTCGGAAATAATTCACACTAGTGAATGTAAACATGTACTTGTGTACGTTCATTCAATACTTCAAACTCGCAGTATAATATCATTCAATACTTCAAACTATAATACTTCAGTTCATCTCAGTTCTGTTCAGTCGATGAGAACAGACCCTTAGATTCGAATATTTTACATTTAAGTCTACTACCCTTTGGTTGACCCTCAAAGTTAATCTGTTATATTTTCATTAATGAGTTGTCCTTCTTAATTTACTTTATAATTAGGGATTCTTTATTGTCACATATGCTACTTTCTACAAATTCTATTACACCATTTTTCTCTTTCATCAACTCCACGCCTCCAACCTACTTGAACTTAAAAAGGTGATCATACTCCAATAGACAATCTCAAAAAAATTGTGCTTTTTAAGGTTTTTTTTGGAAGAGTACTTTTAAATTTTAACTAATCATTAAAATACTCCTTGTGATTTGTATCTAAAAATGGAGTATATACAATATTTAATTTGGCAAAACCACGTATAAAATCGTCTTAGGTCTTCTATTAAAGACGCTCTATAAAATAATTTTAAATCAACTATACTTAATACGAATAATTTAAAGCACGGATACATACTAGTTCGAGAATTTAAAAAAAGACCGTATAAACAAATGACAAGTGCGGATGCACGACGACGCAGCAAACTCCTTTTAGAAGGAGGGGAGTTGACTCACCTCTGTTGATTATAATAATTAAAACTTAGAAAAAATACCAAACTATATCATTTATAAACTCCTACTAGCCTACTACAATCACAATCCAACAAATAAAATGATGAATATAGTTACAATTTCCGTCCAAATTCATTTCAGCCTTTCGCATTTATAAAGTGTCCACTTTTTTTTCTTTCTCACCATTTTCTCTCTCCTCTATATCACCCCATATCTCATTTTTCCCACCATCCTTTTTCTCTTATTTTCCCCAAACATTCCATTACACAATTTAGCACTAAGAAAACAGTCAAATTATATATTACAAAAAAAAAAAAAAAAAAATTAAATTTTATTTTAGGAGTATTATTTTTATTATTATTAAAAATGGAGAAAAAGAGTAGCAGTTCAGGAGAGAAAGACTCGCTTCATGCTCTTTACAAAGTTCCTTCTGGTGATGGCCCTTATGTTCGTGCCAAACATGCCCAGGTAACTTTTTTTTTTTTTGGGTTAAATGTAAACATACTTTATTCTCATCTATTTTTCTTTGCATGTAGATAATAATATAGACGAGATTTAATTTCATCTAATAAGTGCTCGTATTAGGTAACTAAGTTACTCCGGAGTTGACATTCACTTTTTTGTTTAATAACTTTTTTCCTTGTTATTAAGTTGTTACATTTTTTTTTTGTGAAACATAGTTGTTAGTTTGTTACATATGGTAGTTGTAAACCATTTAGATATACTTGTGTTAGAACCTGAATATGATGATCCCTTAGTCCGTTACATATAATTTAATGTAGGTGAAACCTAATTAATATGCATTGTATATTTGTATAATCCAAGCTTTTTTATTTTATTTTTATTAAACCTTTGCTTAGTTCATCTAGCTTGTGATTTATACTAGTAGTAATTATTTTGCGCATTTGTCAATGGTTGAATATTTAGATTAATTAGATCGTCTAATATTGTTAAACTTTATGATTAAATGTATTAGATGTTTGATTGTTTCAAATGACGAACTTCAAATAGTCAAATGTAGATAAGAATGTGGTGCTTGTTTAATTTTTGTAAGAATGATTCTGTCTACATTATTGGCCCTTATGTAACTCGCTCCTTGTCGAGCCATAAAGATAGTGAACATAAAAATAAACTCCGGTTCAGCTTAATTTTAGTTTATCTCATCTCAGCTCAACTCCAATGTCTCCAATCAGTTTTGTTCAGTTTTCAATTTCCTTCTCTCATAAACAATTCATTTCAACTCTATTTAGTTCAATTCATTTGTTTTCAGTAAATCGAAACATGCCCTTAATCATGTCATTTTAAGCCTATCTTAATTGATTATTTAACAATATTACAAAGAAAGTTGTAGGATTGTTTTAATTTAATTTGTTAATGGGGGTTAGACAATTGAGAAATAAATCTAGGTCATTGTTGATTATTTGATGTACTCTTCTTATCAATCCCAATCTCAAATGAAATTTGATTTGAAAATAATTAGTCCTTTAAGATTATTGGAAAAAATAAATCCAAATATACTATTAATTGTTCTCTAATTTTTAAACTATATAGAGCTAGCTTTGTGATTAAAAATATATATTTTTTTCCAATAAAAATAAAGAAAAAGAGACATCTGGAGACCTTTATCACGAGAGAAATTCCTAATTATTATAGCTTTGTGATTAAATTTGGAGAACCTTATCACGAGAGAAATTCCTAATTAATGTAGCTTTGCGAATAAGTATGTAATTCGACATGTTGCATGAGAAAATAAATACAATGTTTTTTGTTCTAATTTCATTACAAAAAAAAAAAAAAAAAAAATTGATATATTTGTTTTTTTGTTGGGTATGATCAGCTGGTGCAAAAGGACCCAGAAGCAGCAATAGTACTATTTTGGAAGGCTATAAATGCAGGGGATAGAGTGGATAGTGCACTCAAAGATATGGCTGTTGTAATGAAACAGCTTGATAGAACTGAAGAGGCCATTGAAGCTATTAAGTCTTTTAGAGGCCTTTGCTCTAGGAATGCTCAGGAATCCCTCGACAACGTTCTCATCGATTTGTATAAGGTACATACCGTAAATTCTTCACTTCTTGCAACATACATTTCATCTAATTATTTGATTTTTTTGCTTGTGTGTATGCTTTTTTTTTCGCGGATAATTAGTATTAATGTTGGAATGTGTAGCTACATTGTGTAACTCGGGTTTTGTCCTGGTTGTTGATAAACAATCTAAATTCTTATTTGCTCGATGAATTTGTTTGGTTGATGACATGTCTAAATTTATTGCTTTGCTTTTGTTCAACCAAAAACTCCAAATTGACGACTAACACACAAAGTTTCATTGAAAACGAAAGGTTTTGATGACTTTTTTTTTGTTTGTTTGAATTTTTTTTGTTCAACATTGTGTGCTAAGACCTTCTAGTTGGTTGTTGTTGTGTTTGAGCAGAAATGTGGGAAAGTAGATGAACAAATTGAGCTCCTAAGACAGAAACTACGGATGATATACCAAGGCGAAGCATTCAACGGAAAACCAACAAAGACAGCAAGATCTCATGGCAAGAAGTTTCAAGTTTCCATCAAAAAAGAAACCTCTAGAATACTGGTATGATTTCTATTTTTTTTTCTTCTCTTGTTATAAAATCTTAAGAACTGAGTTCAACTAGTCTACATAACACTGCACCACTATTTGAATAACTCCAACAAATTAATGTACATTATCTTAGTATTATTATGACTAATAATTGGAAGGACACTGAAGATTCATAAACAAATTCTGTCTCATCCTTCAAACAGAAATATGTTAGTGTAAGTGTGCAATCAATTCATATGTTAGTGTGTAATCCGATTGTCACAGCGTACATTTTATCATTTTCGTAGGTAGTGTAGATACCTCCTCTGTCACTAATTGGCTAATTTGTTGGTATGCTACAATTGGTAAGTTTTAGAATTCTAAAATTTTAGAGGAACTCTAAAAGAAAATGTGTTTGGGTTTAAGATTGTTTTTATTTGTATTAGGGAGTACTCAACAATCAACACCACTAGTTCTATACAATTTCATAGCAAAATATTTTTGTGTATTTTAGTAGCAAAATAAAATCACATTAACACTCCATTTGGTACCACAGGGGAACTTGGGCTGGGCCTACATGCAAAAGACAAACTATATGGCAGCAGAAGTGGTCTATAGAAAGGCCCAAATGATTGACCCGGATGCAAATAAGGCCTGCAACTTGGGCTTTTGTCTTATAAAGCAAGCCCGATATGATGAAGCCCGTTCGGTGCTCGAGGAAGTATTGCAGGTCAAAGTTCCGGGCTCGGAGGATATCCGATCAAGGAACCGGGCCGAGGAACTGTTGTTGGATTTGGAGTCACGACAACCGCCTTCTTTGTTGTCTAGCATTGTGAGCCTTCATTTGGAGGATGAGTTTGTCCAAGGGCTTGAGGAATTTGAATCTAAATGGAGCTCAATGAAACCTAGAAGACTTCCTATATTTGAGGAAATTTCCAACTTCAAAGATCAATTAGCTTGCTAGATATATACATTTGTTTTTTTCCTTTTTTGAATTTTGTGTTTAGAGATGTTTATATAGAAAATGCAAAGTGTGGTGTTAATAGGGTTGAATAGAAATATATGTTTGAAATGCGTAAGGTTGTTTGTACTATGTCAATAGCAATTAGCAATGATGTTTGAGGAGCTCGAAGTGAGCTAAAAGAATAAAAGACACTTTCGCTTCTGGACATAGTTATATCGACAAAACTAGACCAACTCGAAAATGGTTGGAATTATTATTTTGTAAGTCAAAAATAAACTTGACAAATCAAATAGGTGAATAAGAGTGAGGTTTGGGTTGAGTACTTGAATTCAACAATTAAAGTTACAAACAAATAAGAATCCTAAATTTGCATTTGATTATCTTATCACTTTAATTGCACCTTGTTCAATGTTTTTATACAAGTTTGTCATGGGATAGAATTCCTCATATGTTAAAGAGATTTCAAAGCATTCCATAATAATAATAATAATAATAATAAATAATAATATAATAAAAAAAAAAATGATGTTCTAAACCATACCAGTAGAAAATGTTTCTCACATACAATTGGGTGTATTATGAGAGTTACACACTTTATTTTTGGAAAATCCAAGTTTATATCTATGCGAAACTTGAATTGTTTAGCACATAACAATTTCGTAAATAGCTTCGAAGTCCGTGCCTAGACAAATAAACAATGGTTTTCCATATAAAAGTTATAACATTATGTCAACTTGCATAAACAAACAAACTAATGACTCATAGTAACGTTATTCTTTGCTCTGTCACTATTTAATCACGGTAACTCAAGTTGAGTTAAGCTTTTACCCCCTCTAAAATTATCTTCTCATATTCGTCAAGAGAGAGAAACAGAAAAGCAACTCAAAATCATGAGAGAGAAACATAAAAGAAACTCGATAAATCTGTCCATGAAACTTTCTAATGGGCTAATAAATAATTTTCTAACTCTTTTTTACTCGTAGGTGTTAGAGGATTGAAACTGTCTAATGGGCTAATAAATAACTTTCACTTTTTATTAACAATAGTTTTTTTTTATTATGATTCAAGATTTATAATGGCTACCCAACTATTGATTCACTTCACCTCACCTCATTTTTGTTATATTGAAATTATTTTTACCATCAACCTTAAATTATTTTTACTTATTCTCTATTTTATTTTTCTCTAAAGTTACTAATTTTTATGAAATTAGGATTATTCTTGGTAAACTGAAATTATTAATTTTACTTTTTTTTTTTTTTTTTTTTTTTTTTTTTTTTTTTTTTTGGAATACAGTACTAAGTTACTGGAGTGGTTATTACCAAATTTACAACCCCAGTCTTTCTCAAAACATACTTCTTGCATACCTCTCTGCTTCTCCTATTATAATTTCTCTGCTTCCAATTTTGCCGATTTTGATTGAAATAATACAAATTCCAACTTTTTACTGGCTTGAATCTGAAATTGAGCCTGATTATCAAACGACCAACGGATTTGGAGTTCGATTTGGAGCAAAATTTCCAAACTTTGGTGAGTTCATCATACTAGAATTCTCGATTTTTCTCCTAAATTCTGATTCTTTGAATTTCAGTCATCTACTTAAATATAACTTTTTGAGCTTGAATTTCTTAATTTGACCAACTAATTAGCTGAAATTTGCTTCTTATAATATGGTTCTTACTCAATTTCAGTTTTTCGGAAATGGTGGTTTTTGTTGTTCTTGTCTTTTCTTGTAATTTAGTGGGGGGTTTGTTGATTTGAAGATTTCGGTTGATTAAAATTAGGGCTAATAGAATTTGTGTTGATGATGAAATATTGAAATCGTTTATTTGATTTCATTTGATATTGATATGAATACAAATATATAATTAGTTTAGTGTTTGGATTTATATGGAGCTTGTAATTTGGTTAGTGTTGGATTGTTGGATTTGATTGACAAATGATAAGGAGTAATTTGCATGGTTGTGTTGGGTCTTGGGCCCTCTTGGCTAAGTTGGTTGCCTGGTTAGGAGGGTTCAAGTGTGGGGTCAATGACCAGGTGGATCCACAACCAATATGAAGTTAACACGTCGCCTTTTACTTGTCCAACACGATAACCTTAAAAGTTAAAACTTGGACACTTTTGAGAAGGTGAGTTATAGATGAGATTATAGTTGGGATTAAAATGAGAAGGCGAGTTGGGATTATCATAGTTAAATTTTAGGTTGGATTTGGGTGATTATGTTTGAGTTAGTTAGCTTTTGTGTTGCTTTAATGCTTTATAGCTATCTTCAATTAGCTATATTTAGTCAATTTATTATTTGTATGATATTGGGATTTGGGAAGTTGCAAAAAACATTTCATTTGTTTTATCAATGACTTTGCTTATACTGTGAGTTATTATAGAGCCTTGGCATTACATTTATTTTATAAGAAAAAGTTATAATGATATGACTATATGAGTAATATGAGTGGCAAATGGCAATGTTTATATGATATATGAACAATATATTGCTTGTCAACTTTTTACAGAGTTTCAGTTCAACAGCTTGATATGGTATCAACTGAATTATTATCATTGTTGCATGATGACATGACTTGAAAGAATTAGATTTACAAATGTGTTTGTTGTAGGCCTTTCGGCTATCCTCTTTAGATAATCAGTATCCATATAAGCTTCCTTAATTTCGAGGTTAGTATTGAGATGTAGTTGAATGTGTTAGCTCCTTTGTTCCCTAACTTAGTGCTCTGGAGTGTTAATTACGACTTCATTATGTTAAAAATCGATACTCTATGTATTGTGTCTATTTTTGTTCTATCCCAGGCTTCAATGCTGTCCGAGATTCCTCTTTTCTTGATTTGATTCAAATTTGAGAATGGCTATGAGCATTTTACTTAATATTGCAAAATTAACTCTGCCTTTTTGTTTGGCATTTTGATAAATACTAGCTTTTGGCTTTGCTTTCTATTAGGCTTCACCCCTTGATCTTGCCATAACTTTAACATAATCTATCTAGTGTCTATAACTTACTCAATTCATTCTGATTTTTCTGTGAGATATATTTTGAAGTTTGAGGCGTCGCTTCACTGTTAGCTGGGTTCTCCCCCCCCCCCCTCTCAGTAGTCAGTCTGTTCTTTCGAGGTAAACAAGATTCTATGTCTTGATGTGATTGGAGAGTAAAGGTGGAAGAAGTGTGGTAACCCTGGAAAAGAGATCAGTTGACCTCCCATCTTTCTTCTGGAATTTTCTTTTGCAAAATTGAAACTTGAATTATCTTTTCTGATAATATAGGTGTCTTATTAGTTATGTATTTATCATGCAATGGATGGGAGAATGTAATTCACAATTTGTGAGAGATTGCATTGCCTTTTTTTTTTTTTCCTTTCTTTTTCTTCTTTTGTTTTCTCATTTACTCACAAATATTCAACTTACTCTTTTCCTTTATTTTAAAAATTTACAGGAGGAAGAACATTGGTTCCCTGATTCATTTTAGTATCTGATACTACAGTGATACTAGACTCAGGAATATTACTTTTTCTACAGCAGTGTTGAAAAACCTTAATTAAACTGTGCCAAAGACCTCAATATACAGATCCCTGTTCTCCCTTGATTGCAAACAATGGCTGCTCGAGAACCAGAGATAATCGCAAGCAAAGACAAAATGAGAAAATGGTCAAGAGCAATGAGAGCCCAAGGCAAAACCATAGGGCTAGTACCTACAATGGGTTACCTTCACAAAGGACATCTCTCTCTAGTCAGTGAAGCCCATCAACATGCTGACCTCGTCGTAGTCTCCATTTATGTAAACCCAGGTCAATTCTCTACCTCCGAGGATCTTTCCACCTACCCATCTGACTTTCATGGTGATATACAGAAGCTAATGTCTGTTCCCGGAGGAGTTGATGTTGTTTTCAATCCTTATGACTTGTATGATTATGGTAGAGGGAGGGATAGCAAAGGTACGGAAAAGTGTGAGAATGTAGGGGTGATTTCTTGCTTGGAGGAAAGGGGAGCCGGGCATGAAACTTGGATTAGGGTCGAGAAATTGGAGAAGGGCTTGTGTGGGAAGAGTAGACCTGTTTTTTTTTAAAGGGGTGGCTACAGTTGTTAGTAAATTATTCAATATTGTGGAGCCAGATGTTGCTATCTTTGGGAAGAAGGATTATCAACAGTGGCGACTTATTTGTAGAATGGTGAGCCAATTTCATTTTGTTTGGCTTTACAATGTGTTTTATCTGTGAATCGTTATCTAATGAGGTGAAGTTGTGTATATCTTAACTTCAGGTAATTTGCGGTGTAGTTGGAGGAATCTTGATGATTGCATATTTTATTTAGTCAATTTTCCCTAATAATGGCCTGTTGTAGATGATGATGATGAATGATCTAGTGATTGATAATTTGTTTCCTGAGAATTGTGCTGTTGTGCTGAAAGTTTAGTTGAGCTAACCAGGTGAGATTGAATGTGCCGAGCTTAGCTTGGGAATGGATGATTGGCTTCTAGTATTGAAGCCTTAAACTCTTTCAATCAATTTATATTCTATATGGTTTTAGTGCTTACTAGATTATAAGTTACCACTTTACATTGATTTATTAGGATGAAAAATAATAAAGATGGCATAGTCCAAAAATCCAGCAGTGTTTATTGTTTACAGACATCTACAGAAACTTGAGCAAGCTCTCAAATGACTGACTTTATATTATGTGGGAGACTTCTTAGAGGCATTATTTAGTAAATAGTACTCATGTGTGCTATCCAGGATTTCTTATCTAGCCCTCATAAAACCAAATTCCAAGCTGCTGTGATAATCATCATTTTCATTAGGATGATTTACAAGTCTGAAGCTGTAAATCTGATGACCTACTTCACGGATGATCTGTTAGCTGTTACCCTTATATCTCAGGAAGACTAATATGGTCTCTTAGAAGTTAGTGACAAGTTGACGGTATTCAACGTCTATGGGATTTTTAGGCTGTTTCTCTTGTCAGTTGCCAAACAACATCCTAATATGAATTGCTTCCTCAATACAGAGCTGCTTGCATACTTTAGTCTTTATAGAGTGCATGTTATCTGTGTAAAATCTCTTGTTCCTTTACTTGATTAATATTTTATAATTATCCGATAAAGGACCATGGGCCTTTTGATTTGATATATCAAAAATCAGGAGCAGCAAATCATCCTTGAATACTGTTTCTGAATCCAAATCTTCCAATAGCATGATTTTATGTCAAAAGTCTTTTGTTGAATATGTAACATGATTGTTTGCTGATGGTTCCTAAATTAGCTCCCTTGATCACCAACTTATCGATATAGGTACGAGATCTAGATTTTTCTGTCCAAATAATTGGATCAGAGATTACGCGTGAAGATGATGGCTTAGCAATGAGTTCCCGTAATGTGTACCTTTCCCCCGAGGAATGGAAAAAGGTAGTTAATCAGTTATTTACTTCATGTACATGTTCCTTCTTTGACTGATTTCAGTTAGTGATGCCTACCATTCTTGCATGCCCAGGCATTGTCTATTAATAGGTCTCTGTCAAAGGCCAAACATGCAGCAGAAAATGGGCAAATTAGTTGCAAAAGACTTCAGGATTCGATAATTCTTGCGATAGAGGAAGCCGGTGGAAATGTAGACTATGCTGAGGTAACCAGTTGTCTGCATTACCAATTTAACACTTACCTGTATTTATAGCTTTTAAGTCTTTTATACAATGAAAATCAGATTTCCTATGATGCAATTTGTTCGGTTCTATTGGAAGCAGATAGTGGATCAAGAGACCTTAGAAGTAGTTGAAGAGATAAAGGCCCCTGTTGTGATTTGTGTTGCTGCTTGTTTTGGGAAGACCAGGTTGATTGACAATATGGAGATTTCCACCTAAAGAGCAAAAGTTCTGCTTGCGAAATTGCCATTTTCATCTTGTAACATGCCCCTGATGTGATTTGTGTTGCTGCCTGTTTTAGGAAATCCAGGTTGATTGCCAAAATGGCGATCACCCACCTAAAGAGCAAATTTTTTAAGTTCTGCTTGCGAAATCAAAGATTTTTCTTTGGATCATATCTTGATCCATTTCATCTTGTAACCTGTATGAAGAGCTTTTGTACTTAAATCTTACTGATAATTCATTTTCAGGCTAGTCATAAATTTTGGACCATTCTGTTTAGTTTCTTTTCATCACTTTAGTGGTAAATTCCTATCAAGTAATGCAATTATTACATAGTTAAAATGTATCTTCAAAGTATATTCAGATAATCAATTCATAACTTCATGTTTTGGAATTGTGCACTGTATACTGTAAGTTAACAGGTCAATATAGATCCAGTCTATATTTCTATGTATACCATGTTGTTCTAATGCAAAATATCAATGATAATACAAAGCAATCTAAGTTTCAAATTAAGATCAGCCAAAAGAGGCAGAAATCATCTCTAGGACCAAGTTTGCATATTAGCCTACTATTGTCAAAAGGATTTCGGTACACAACTGTACAAAACTGTCTGAAAATCCATCATACAATATAGATGACGAAACTCTGATTTGTATATAAGCCTATAGATCTGGTTTACTTATGGGTGCACTTGAAGCCTCCGCAAATGGACAAGATCAAGATGAGAATCAGTGCCACAACAATAGCTAAAACTATCAGCTTTATCTTCATGTTCTCCCACCACATCTTTCTCCTTATTTTGGTACCCTGAGTCCTGAAATCTTGTGCCTGCACCCAATATAGCAACTCCTTAAATACACATCATTGGTATTATTACATCCATAATTATATGAACACCAATGTAAATAAAAATTGACAATTTATATGAAGAAAACAAGGAAACAAAAGCTTTCATTTACAATTACACGCTGTGCTAAAATTGTTGAAATAGGTAAGTAAATCAAGGAAAGATTAGTAGCCATAAAACTATATTCAAGTATACACTATTTGCCTGTGAATCAAATAAGTTTAATATTCTGTTAGAAAATGAATGATTTCAAGGTAAAGAATTGAATGGCAAAGGTATTAATTTAAATGAATGAAATGTCAAAATGAGATCACCTGTCAGGATATAATCATGTAACGATGTAAGTACTGTAATAATGTAACATACTGACCTGAGAACGAAGGTTCTCTGTTTTGTCCACCAGGAGCTCGATTTTTTCACCTCTGTCAAGAACCTGAAACCAGAATGTCCTAAACAATGATATCCTCGATATATATACCTCTTTACATATACAAATACCTCGTAATGACTAATTGCTTCATCCCCAAAGCACAAAGGGAGGAGCAAAACCAACCATCAATGGTAACCAGTAATCAAAGATTACTATGACATGCTCTATACCTTCTCAATATTTTCCATCATTACTCCTTTAACTTCTGACACCTGGGCTTTCACTTTTGCAAGCTTGTTAATCTCTTCTGGGTGATCCACACAGTACTGCATCTGCTCCTTCAACTTAGGCCTAAAAACAAGGCATAAAATAAAGAACACGTCCAAAACAAAAGGGACATTTCTCAAACCACGAAAACCAAAACAATTACCCGAATTCTTTGTTTAGGCCTTTGGCAGCAACCGTTGCAGCTTTCCCCCCGCCATATTTCTTGGAAAATTCATCCTTGACTTTCTCTAGAAAAGCAATCGGAATCTGCCTACCCGCAGACTCAACTGCAACAACACAGTAAGCTGCACCACAAAAAGCACATAGCAAGTCAACAAAAGACTAACCAGTAGCCATACCAGAAAGCAACCAACAAAAGGTCAAGCAGAGATGAGCTAACTAATTATCATATCAAGCAAATTATCTATACAAGAAGCAGATGTCATTCTGAAGGACAGTAACCCCCTACCCACAAAAATAAAAAAAATTTAAAAAATAAAAACCTAGAGATGAACCATTCACGTACGAAGCCTCACTGTAATTAAATTTAAATAAAATTTTGGCTCATCTGCACAACATAATAATGCCAACACAGCAAAAAAAAATGCAGAGAAGATTTAGGGGGTAAACAAAACATGAACATTTAAGTGATACTCCATATTCTAAGTTGGAACACCATAACTTGGAATGCACTGCACCACCGTATTTTAAACGCCACTAAGCCACTGCCAATTCCAACCGGCATCGACATCTGTGGCTAGTTAAGAGACTTGGAATAGCAAAAAGGCATAAATATTTAGGGGGGAAACCGGAAAACCTATAATTAATATATGCAAAATAGCCATTTAAGTGCTATTCTCATAAAATAGAACGCAATGAACCACTATATTTTGAAAGCCACTCCCAACTCCAACAAGCATCAATATCTGTGGCTAGCCCCAAGACTTGTATTAGCATGTTCTGCAAATTATCCCTGCAGATTTACCTTAAGCTAACTTCACCAATGTGGCTTAGTTATAGCATTGATCAATATAATTCAGTTGACACAAAATATAAGGCACAAATCAAAATATGCATGTAATTCCTGTATTCATTAGATTTAGAACCTATCCACCTGATTTTATTTCAAAAACCTTCCACATTTCTTGCGAGGGTGAATCCATGAATCTTCCTTAAAAGTAAGACATTTGATAAATTTCATATCCACAAAAAACTGCTCCTCATTGGTCCTACCATCTACTAATATTCATGAATCATGAGTCCATACCAATTCACACACCCTACGATAATTCACCCTAATTGTTGGCTGTCTCTTTAAGTTATGGAATCTCAGGACTCAGGTGAAGAAAACATAGTCTATCTCTTATTTCAGGGCACCAAAAATAGTACACAAATAAAGTTGAGATATAAGGAAAAGAATCTCTGTAACAGCGGCTTCATCCCTATAAGGGCATGTTTTAAATTTAGGAACAGAGAACTTAAAAATGTTCTACTCTTTTAAGAAGAAATTTAAATGAAATTATAACAAAAAAAAATTCCAAATAACTCTTTGTATATGTATTTGAAAACTGGTTATCAAAAACTCGAAACATAATAGCTAAGACCACAAAGTCAATAAACAAATCAGCTAAGACCAAAAACTCAATAAACAAATCAGCTAAGACCACAACCTCAATAAACAAATCAGCTAAGACCACAAACTCAATAAACAAATCAGCTAACACCACAAACTAAAGTCAACCTATTGTCCTAAAACAAATGGCCTCTCAATTTATGTCAAGAATTTCATTTGTAAAGCTAAATTATATATACAATCCAGACACATGTCGATGTCCTCAATACAAATTTCATTACAAAAACTCAAAATTAAAATTCAATTTAAATTACTGTAATAAAAAACCAACATAGGTTGGATCAACAAAATGTCGAAAACAAAACAATACTCTATGATATATCTCTATTATTATACTTCTCCTTGGCTTCACAGTTCACACAAACTTAAGGCCATAAAAAAAAAAAAAAAAAAAAAAAAAAAAAAAAAAAAAAAAAAATCGTAAGCCACCAAAATAAAATATCACCATCACCACACAAAATAAATAATGCAATCATTCTGACAATACCCATCATCCAATTACAGAAAACATATAAAAATAAATTGACTATCATTATTCAAATTGTCTCATTGATGCCATAAGGTCACAATCATGAAACAACCATTTAGTAAGCAATAGTGTTTATTTTCATAGCTGACACCATAATAATATAATACACACACCATAAACACCAAGCTAACTACTTGTATTTTGTTTTTTTAATTAACAATGAAGAAATCAAATCTAAATCATTAAACAACAGATACATTCGTGTTAGAGATAAGATATCATCAATATCGGAAAATATATGTGTATCTCTAACAATTCGTCATTCATCATAGCAAACAAACAAAAAATATAGCACATTAATAATTTTTTTTAAAAAAAAAGGTTTTGTTATACGTAGCCCTATAACTCTATAAGCTAAGTAACCACCCCATAAAAATCAGTTACAAAACTCGTAACAAAATCACGTGTCAACTAATGTTATCATCATCCGATTTAATACGTACTCCTATAAGTAAACTATAAAGAATCAAATACATTTCCTAACACAGTAAGATGATATCACCACGTAAATCATATCTCGATCAAATTAAATACATCTCCTAATACAATAACACCACCACCACAATGAATTAATCAAATTCAATAACTATAACAAAATCACGTGTCGATCAAACTGAAATGATTTAATACATTTCCTAAGACAATATCACCACCACCACGTATTATTCAAATTCAGAACCCATAACAAAATCACGTGTCAGATCAAACTAAAACAATCAAACACATTTCCTAAGATGATAACACCACCACGTAATAATCAAATTCCGAACCCATAACAAAATCACGTGTCGATTAATGTTATCAACATCCTATTAAATCATCATCAACCCAAAAAAAAAAAAGGGTACGATAAAAAATGATAGAGAAAAAAGGAAGATGAAATATACTGAATCCATTGTCGACGAGATAATTGAAAGTATGACCATCACAATTGTAGGTAAATTTGCTGCTTGAAGAGGGTAATTTCTGAAGGCATTGAGTTGCAACCGATGTAAAATTCCCAGTAAATTCTGTAAATTCAGCCAAAATTACCGTGCCTCGCGCAACAAAACTATAGATCAAAGATTGTTGCCCCATTTTTTTCCAAATTCACCGCCAAAAATTACACGGAATTTTGCATTTGAAAGAGAAATTTTTTAAATTTTAGAAGGGAATTTAAGGAAGAAGAAAGCGTGAGGTTGAGTGAAAAGGATATTTATGAATGAATGAATGGGAATGTTGTTGTTTGTGTTTTTGGTTTGGTTATAGAGAGAAAGAAGAGGTGGGGAGGAGAGAGAAAGAGGCGTTACCGGTTTTTATTCTTTTTGCATTTTTGGAATGTTTTTATGATGTGTCAATAATTGGGATCATTGTTGCCTAAATTGAATTTGAAATGGAAATTGAGTTTATAAATGGTATAAGTAGCATTAAGGATTATACAAACGCGTAATTAAATTAAGTGAACCAAGACTCAAAGAGCTCATTATGTGGAGCCCTTTCCCTAAATAATGTTGGGAAAACACGTCATTCTCAAAATACAACCGATCTTTTTTTAATTCCCACCGTATTGTCCATATCAGTTATGGAAAACAAACCGTTTTTTTTTCTCGGTCCAGCAACAAACCGCTACTTCAAGTAGCGGTGTTAAGAGAATAAACCGCTACTTGAAAGTGGTGGTTTTCCTCAAAACACCGCTACTTGAAGTAGCGTTATGATTTTGTTGAATTATTTTACAAGGGGAAAGTGATTTTGTTAAAAAAAAAAATACTTAGTATATACAAACCGCCACTTCAAGTAGAGGTTTCTAATAAGTAAACCGCTATTTGAAGTAGCGGTTTGCTAATGAACCCGTTTTAAAAAAAAATTCCCATTAAACTGGTGACATGGACGATACAATGGGAATTAAAAAAATTCCCACTGAACTGGTGACATGGACGGTACGGTGGGAATTAAAAAAATTCCCACTTGTTAACTTTGTTCTTGCTCTAATTACTTTGCTAATTAATTTGCTACACTATAACCTAAGCAAGTTAATCTAACAAACATGAAAATAATCTCCATACTCTAAGTTATTTTACATTTAGGTGTATAATTTAACCACGACATGAGCTTTAAATTGAATAAGTGCGTTATGACTTATGAGTAGTGTGACATTTTCATTTAGAAAGTTTTGCAAATAATAATATGGGAATAAAAAACGAAGGAAGTCTTCATTATTCAAAATAATTATGTTTTGTATGCACCCTTTATAAATTTTACTCCGTCCTAACCTATAATTGCAATATTACCGCATTTACTCTTGTACCGGTTAAACATTTTAAACTGTTGCAATTAATCCAAAACCGAGTGATTAATCTGAATACACGTACTACTAGATTTTGTTGATATAGAACATACAACCATAAAATTTGTAGAAGTTTAGCTAAAAACCCAGAAACTAATTTCAGAGTGGGACTCTAAAAATGATGAACTGCGGGGTTTCATCTTCACTTTCCTCGCAATCTTCTTGTTCATCATTCTATTCCCTTGTTAAAAATCGTAAATTTTGCTCAAATTCCCAATTTTCTTCTATTTTGATTCATAATTACCGACACATTCATCTTCCTAATTGTCCACACCTTTCTCTCTCCTCTCGTTCTCAATCTCCTAAACCCATTTTCTGCAGCAATTCCCCTGGTTCTGGTTAGTTTCTCAAATCTTTTCGCACTCAATTTTGTGTCTATGATTTTTCAATGAGATGGGTTGTGCTTTAATTGTTAATTTTTTACTAAAAACGAATTGGGTTTTAGTTTTTCTTTATAATGAATTGTGCTTTGATTTTTAATTTTTATGCTGAAATTGTTGGGGTTGAGTTATTCATCAACTTGATTGGTACTTTGATTTTGTTTTTCTGTAATTTCTGCTGAAATTGATGAATTGGGGTTGAATTATTTATTGAAATTAATTGTGCTTTGATTTCGTTTTGGACAATGATCAGCTAATTTCTTTAATTTCTGCTGAAATTGATGATTTGGGGTTGAATTAATCATTGAAATGAATTGTGCTTTGATTATCATTTTTCATGCTGGAATTGATGGAGTGGGGTTGAGGTATTCATTGAAAATTGCACTTTAATTTTTTAATTTCTCCCTGTTGAAATCAACTAATTGGATTAGAGTATTCATGGCTAGTTTCGGTGGATTTATTTGCAACTTTATTGTTGTTTAAACTAAGTATGAATTGCTGAAATCTACGAGTAATAAGACTCCTAGCCTTTGCCTTTTTGAGTAATGTAGTAGTGCAAGTTGTTTGCATCGTTAATGTACCCAACTACGCTCTAGGACCGGGTGTTGGCATTCCATGTATGAAAGAACTATGAAATTTATTGAAAGGTTCAATGCTTCAATCATCCGTCGGGATCTGATTTAATTAGCAAGTTGTTACGCAAGACATTTTTGGGAGAATATATCAAGTTCCGAAGCTCGGGGTTTATGAGTACATAGAAAGATGGTTTTTTTTACTGACTTTGTATTTGTATGTTGCTGGGTGGTTGCTTGTATGGATAGTTTTTAGGCGACCCCAATCCTACGTAGCTTATGTACTACTTCGTATTGTATGATTTGTGAAGTTTGTTTGACTAGTTCTCATTTATGAACTCTAATGGTATGTACGAAGCTAGGTTCCCATAATTGTACAGCCATGGTAATGCAACAATAAATATATACGAAGTATGTACTAGTTTAAGTCATTGGAGAAGAGGGGGTGAGAGAAATAGTTACGTTTAAACCTTTACTAAATTTCAAGGATGGATGAAGACCTATATCAATAAGTGGATTTACTGGATTGCTTCCTTTGTGCTTGTGGAAACTTGTTCTGTGGAGGTGTGAAAAAGCTGTAGGCTGAAGATAATAAGATAATTCGTTGTTCATAGATATAGTTTATGGAGTATATTGTTGTTGCTTGATTGCAAAGCACAATTTACTACAGTTGATGGAGTTAAGGGTCTTAAACAGCAATGATACAGGACCAATTTGCAAAAATTTGATTTGCAATTGAAACGTTTATTTATTTTTTCTCAAATTGTATCATCCTAGGCTATGAATCCATGATATACTTCGTACTATGCTAGGGGAAGCTGCTTAAACTTACACATGTGCTGTTAGCTATCCAGTTTACCTGTTTTACAGTTGTAAATTACTAAACATGTTATTGTATTCAAGTCCCATACTTTGTAGCTTTGGGAGCATGGGTTTAATTCGCTTGGATATTGGGTTACTTCTAGGTTTTCTTTGACTGATTCCAATTAAAATGCAAGTGAACTGTATTGACATCTCAAGGCCACAGAATCAGTCTAAAGTTTTATAGTTCAATACATGTATTGAGTTTACCTGTTTAAATCAGATATGAAAGATGTTAAATGTAATTTAGACGTGGCATCATGTTTTGCCTGCCTTATTGATCTATGTGATCCATGAAGTAATAAATTGTGCAGGTGAAAGTGATAGCAAAACTGTCCTTGATGCATTTTTCCTGGGAAAAGCTCTTGGTGAAGCACTAACTGAAAGAATTGAATCTACTGTTGGTGAGATTCTGAGCACCGTCGGCAGGTTGCAAGCTGAGCAACAAAAACAAGTTCAGGAATTTCAGGTGAGGACTGCATAAAAGCTAATGGACTGAACAGCCAGTTTCTTCCATGTCTGTGTATGTTAGTTATGCTTGCATCTGTTTGGGAGGGTAGAGGAGGCAAAGAATCATTTTAACCAAATCTTTTTCTGTACTTGACTAGTCGGCACACATAAAAGAGCTCAAACCTGTGACACTTTTAGTTTCAATTGTAGGAGGATGTGTTTGAAAGAGCCAAAAGAGCTAAGGAAAAAGCAGCTCGTGAAGCCCTGGAAGAGCAAGGACGACTTCTCCCAAACTCTAATAAAAAAAATTCAGCAGAAAGTAATATTGCTAGTTCGAGTGTTACAGCTTCACGCGTTGATCCCATGAATCCAGCCATGCCAATACGTGTGGTTAATCCATATGGCTCTACATCAAATGGAGATGAAAAAAATAGCACTGATTCAGATTCTGTATCTAGTATAACAATAGATGATTGATGCTTGCCTAGAGAAATATGTTAGAAAGATGCACTAGTTTTCTTGGAATGTTCAACAGAAAAGTGTAAAGATGTTTGAATTCACCTTATTAAATGGTATCATAAGAACTTGTGATAATACAAAGTACGAAGTATATGTTAATGTTACTATTACTTCGTACTTCATATATGGTTTTGCAGAATTATTCACTAAGGCTACGAGCTGCTAGTTTGTTCATCAGTCCATTTGAGAGTTGAGCTAGGGTTCCACTTCTATAGATTATGCTAAAGTTGCAAACTTACCAATTCCAATGGAAATAGAAAAGAGAGAAACAACAAACTAGAGATTCTTAAAGTCCCATGTCAACAAACAATAAGAGATCCAGCCGCTTTATACAGGGATACAGACTCTTCATTATTGCTAGTTTGATACCGTGAATTGCAAATTCTTGATTTAGATGGATTTTCATTAAACTAATATAGGGCGTGAAATAGATCATTCTTTATACGACGAGTAGTGCATAAAAATAAGTTTTTCATTACAATGAATTTTTATTTTTTTTTTTGAATAGTCATTACAATGATTATGATACACCCAACATTCTTTTTTTTCGAATTAATTCTTTTTTTTTTTTTTTTTTTTTTTGGTCTGTCATGGTAAACATATTTGCAATTTTGGGGGTGCTGGGAAGAAATCGTTTAGGAAACCAAAATATAGACATAAAACATTAGCATTCTCTTCGGCAAAAAAAAAAAAAAAAAAAAAAAAAAAAAAAAAAAAAAAAAAATCTTAAAATAACTGTGTAAAAATTGTTTCAAAATATATATATATATATATATATATATATATATATATATATATATATATATATATATATATATATATATATAACTTTGTAAAAAGACCTAATTATTTTGTCCAATAGACTTGGAAAACAAGAACCTTCTCTAAGAACATGTTAACTAATGCTAGAACTTATGTAAACGTATGCCTGTAAAAACTAAAGGAAGAATATGATGAAGGAATGTGTTCTACAGTTTTAAAGGTAAGCTATATCATCATGTAGAATGCGAGCTTCCAAAATCTAGGTCATTCAAATTTGGCGAGGCAACTTGAACAGGCTGCATGATAAAACCAGCCTTCTGACAGGCCTCCTGTAGAAGCTCAACTTGCTGTGGTCCACCGTGGCAAAATGTAACCACAGCCCCTCCACTTCCGGTAAATTTTGACGCAGCACCTACCTCCCGTGCTACCTCCACCATCTTTATATTTATATCCCCAAGAGCATCATCTCCGAACATACTTCTGCAAAATTAGCATTCATGCAATTGATGTTACATACAATAGCATAACATTTCCATGGTATTTTAACATGACTCCTTGGGACAGTAATAAAAACTATATTACTCAGACTCTTCATTTCACCACAACTACCCATATTGGATCCTTAATA